GGGAATGAGAGACTTTAGACCAATAAAGCTTCCATGAGTCAACGAATCTAGACTCTGCCTTCTTAAGAATGCATATTCGTCTGTATGCAAGATTTTTAAAAAAATCTGTTAGACCCTCAGACAGTAACCTTGTGTAACACTGCCTTGAGATACGCCGCACCCATGGTACGACAGGCCCAGCTTAGCAAGCAAAACGAAGTTAGAGAGGTGTCTTCGCAAGAGACAATATATAGTCTTGAATAAGAAATTTCTGCAAATCGGTGTGGCTTGCTCCCGATCATTCTGAAGTGTCTCCTCGCACGCCTCCTCATGGCATAGAATCAAAGAGTCTGGTCAGGCCTGTACTGAATGCATCATGTTAATTGGCCGTAATCTTCTCTTAGCCGTTATATTGAATATGGATTAAATTCCAGTCCAGTGTTTACTGACTTGTCCAATGTATTAGGGGTGGTAGACAATTGCTGCCTCATAATTACACTCATGTTACTAATTAATCCTGGCCTGCAGACCATATTTTTCTACGTATGATGGTTTTTTTCCTGCAGTCTGTAGTTTTGTAGTTTTGTGTCTTTGTATGAGAACATAGATGGGCTAAGATTGGGCGTTTACTGGCTGTGGCAGGCCTCTTCGCACCACTCATACCATATAGAGGAATGCTCTTCCTTACTCAGATGTGTTTCTGGGCACTTTTTACCACCTTATGGCTACTTGCACTTGGATCTTCTCATCTGGAGCTGGCACTGGGGGAGCCATGCCTGGTGCTCCCCGACACCTCGAACTACCCCTACGAGCAACTACCCCCAGGACACTCTAGCATAGACCTCCACCGAATCACTGTTCCTAGCCACATCAAGCCCCTCCCTCCCGACCCCCTCAACTCATCATCACCCCATTACACCCCGTCAACGTCATCACGCACGCAATCTTGTAGGCTATAGACAATACCCTACCCAATGGGACTCTTTGTCACACTCTACCAGTCTGCAGTGTAGGTTGGGTGAAAAGAAGGAAAGGGAGACAGTACGAGTTCTGGGGGGCCCCCGATTGTTATACCTAGACCGCGAGGGTAGACACCCGCACAGTCTCCTTTACAATCTCCTCACAACTGATGGCTCCTCGCCGCCGTCAGACATTGGACGTAACCTCAACCCATGGTGGAATGAGGGGAGCAACCACCTGCGTGTTCTTCCAGTCCTGGCTATGCAGGGACACTTCAGCAGTCCGGGCTGGATAGTTTCCTCTGTCATGGACCAGGCCTGCACCGGTTGTCATCCCATGGCGCGCACACACAAAACTCAAAGGACAATTAGCATGAGGGCAGAGCCCCTGAGGGCAGATTTCGCGCGTCTGGTACGGGATACCTGGGCACAAGGAGTAATAGCCCTCCCATCACCTGCCAGCCACGCTCTAGACATCAGAGAGATAATCCATGCGACCTCCTACATCACATCCAGCCAGGGAGGGAGACCTGGAGAGGGCGCAAACAGAGGAAAGCTGCTGGACCTGGGATCTGCCGATTACTGACGCACTTGTCCGCGGTTCGCTTGAATGCCGATGTTCCATGAGCAACCAGCTCTTGGATGTGAGGTGTCTTTCGCAGCGGATCCGTATCTTCAACCTCGAGACCGCACCTTAGCAGTTCTCAGTGACCCTTCATGGTAGAGGTTTCAGTGCTACCGGCCCTGTAAGTCCTCCAGTGCCACAGGACGTCCTTTTTAGGGCACTTGGGACCCAGGCCAAGGAATTGTTTTTCCAGAGCACTGGCACCTCTCGAAGTGCAGACCTGGAGGTTGGAAGAGGTGTGGAAAACTCCACAGAGCTGGCTGGAACATGCCCTTCAGCACGCAGGGCTGATGCAGTCCGGTCCATGCAGCTTTCCCTCTGTTTGCGCCTCTCCAGCTCTCTCCTCACCTGGCCTGGATGTGAATGGTAAAGGTCCCAGCTCTGGGGGGTGGGGTATGTGGCAGGGTCTGCCGATGGTTCAGCAGTAGCGCTCTCTCGGCGGCATGGGGCACAGTCGCACCGCAACGGCTCCGCTCGCCAGCAGAGGCTGTCTGTCCAGGAGGTGGCAGGGGGCTGTGGGAGATGTGAGGATGTCCTGGGGGTGGGAGGTGTGAAAGAGTCCATGGTGGATGTCAGCAGGGGGGTGGGGGATGGGGATGATGAGGGTGATGTGGGCTAGGAGGTGGTGGAGGGTTTTAGGAGTGTCCTGGGGTTGTTGCTCAGGGGAGCATTGGGGGACACAGGCATGGCTCCCAGTCATCCGGAGAGACCAAAGTGCAATAAAGTGTGGTAAAAAGTGCCCAAACCACTGAAAAAAGCATCTCCACGTAGAGTGGTGCGAAGATGCACAGAGCAATGAAAAATAAAGATATAAAAACAAACTACAAAACAACTAAAAACACTAAAAACCGACAGTAATCAGAGTGTGAATCACAGAGGCACAATTCACCCTATTACAACTCAGTGTAGCATAATTTCTTTTTATTTAAGGTAAGAAAGTTACATAATGTTGCTTTCATTGCATGATAATCTTGTTAGCTGGGGGAGGAAGAGAGGAGGGAGCCAATATAATGAAATTGCATAAACTAGTTATCGTAGCTGGCCTGCTAGGTTCAGTGTTTCCATTTGTTGAGTATTTTTTTTAAAAATTGCCGTAATAGCTGATAGCTATACGTGTAAGGTAGTTAGCCATGCTGCTGACCAAGAATGATCAGTGTCAGGGAATGAACACTGACAACATTTTGTGTCTACTCTTTGCACATTTTGTCTGTGCAGGTTTGTGGCTGGAGTGATCAGCAGGGAGAGGATTCCAACCTTTGAGAGGATGCTGTGGAGGGTGTGTCGCGGTAACGTCTTCTTAAGGAAGGCTGAGATTGAGGATCCTCTGGAGGACCCCGCCACGGTCAGTTCACATAACATACATCACAGACAATAGTAAAGAGACATATTAATAATATATACATAATATTATATATTATGTATATATATATCATACCCATTTATAACACATTTATACATATTAGGAACAGATACACAACTTATTTGTACATGTAGGTTTTCTAATGACTTCTTCTCTTTCCAACAGGGAGACCAAGTCCACAAATCAGTGTTTATTATCTTCTTCCAAGGTGACCAGCTGAAGAACAGGGTGAAGAAGATCTGTGAGGGGTGGGTGTTACACAGCAAAATGCTATTGCATTTTTGCCTTTGTGTTTTGTTTATCTGTTGTGCAATACAAAATCACTGCAGTACCTTTTGAAAAGTTGTACTATTTGGGTTCGTCAACTCAGCTATGCAAGAAATGTTTTCATGTGTGCATGAGTAAGTAAGAATGAAACCGGATGGAAACAAGGAGAATGTACTGTATGTGTTAGATGCTGTGAGTTAACTCTGTTGAATTCTTCCAGGTTTCGTGCCTCGCTTTATCCGTGTCCAGAGACCCCACAGGAGAGGAAGGAGATGCTGGCTGGAGTCAACAGTCGTATCGATGACCTCCAGATGGTATGTTTGTCACTATAATGGAGCTTTACCACCCATTTCTAGTATTATGCACACATTAAATTAACCAAAACAGCAAAATAGAGTAAAGTGAGAGTTTCCATGGAGCTGGTTGACCTTGGACTAAAGCTTGCTTATTGTTTAAGCCACAATACCATTAGCAGTGCAGTTATTTTTCTAATTTAATATTTTTTTCAAAGGGTCTTTGTACTCTTTGTTTCTGCTGATCACTATACAACAAGAAATTAATCAGAAACTTTGCACAACAGGATGTCTGTATTCAGGCTCCTACTCAGTTTTCCTTCATAAAATTTATTTCCAATCAAATTACAAAAGCCCCCATACTGAGGAGGGTATTTTCTCCTGCATTAGTTCTTATCTGAGAAAGACCTTTGTCCTGGCCTAGCGTGTTGTGGTTTGCCCTTATTAAGCCTGGAAAAAAGACCTGGTTCTGCTTGAGAGGTCAGCTCTAGTCTGAGCCTGCCAACCACATACAATGTATTACACTCTACTACAATGAAGCATTCTACTCAGGTTTACATAGAACATCTGATTCTGTGCATAAACATGACTTGACTCTGGCAGCCAGTATGGTAAGATCAATCCATTTGTGCCATTGGCCAACATGTTAACATCACTAATACTCCTCATTCTAGGTCTTTATCTCACATGGTGTTCATGTCACAAAACCATGTCAATAAGCAACAAGTGACTGTATAATTAAAAATGGCAGACAAAAATGCAGTCTCTGTGATGTCATCCATAGGTTTCTGAAGAGCTATTGTGAAGCTGAATGAAGCCTGTTTGCTGAAACTCAAAGCAGCCACTCCCTTGATTATTCATTGCTTTAATTAGTTATATAAATACAGATGTCATGAATGGGGAAATTAGCTATGGAGACCAAAACCAGTTTTTGTACCAGGTTGTAAACTAAATAGTAAATGGACCTGTACCTGTATAGCGCCTTTCTAGTCTCCTGACCACTCAAAGCACTTTTATAAGCCACATTCACCCTTTCACACAGTGGTGGTCAAGGCCATCCAATAGAAACTAATATTCATTCACAGTCAAACATCGATGCATACACATCGGGAGCAATTTTGGGTTTAGTATCTTGCTCAAGGACCACTTCAACATGCCAGAGGAGCCGGTGATCATGGGGCAACCCACTCTATCTCTGAGCCACAGCCTCCCCAATAGTGTAGGTAGACATGTTTATTTCTGCTGTAAAACAAATCATTCCACACTGGTACTGTAGGTGCTGAACCAAACAGAGGACCACCGTCAGCGAGTGCTGCAGGCCGCTTCCAAGACCATGCGGGTGTGGTTCATCAAGGTGAGGAAGATGAAGGCCATCTACCATACCCTCAACCTCTGCAACATCGACGTCACCCAGAAGTGTCTGATTGCTGAGGTGTGGTGTCCCGTCTCAGACCTGGACTCCATCCAGTTCGCTCTGCGCAGAGGAACGGTGAGTTTGTTTGGTTGTATATTTATTTACACTGATCAATTTCATCTTCTTGTTTTTGTAGTGTAGTGTAGAAAAGTCACATTTCTGTTGTTGTGTTTGTAAGCTCACAGGCGAATAACTTATTGTGACTATATTATTGACAATATCTTGTAGTTTTGCTTGAGTAAAATCTCGGATCTCCTTCCAGTTTCACTCTGCTTCCTGTTGTTTAGTTTTAACATGTTTTTAACATGTTACACTAGTATGCTTTGGCTTTCCTCTTTCAGTAATGAAACAAAGGAAAAACTGTTTTGATTTCATATACAGCAGCAGTTCATATACAGGTCACTGAAGCTTTGTGGGTGAACAGGAAAAAGGTTGCTGCAGGAGAACATACCAAGCCACCAGTGGCGTTTTCTGGCATCAATAACGTGCCGTGAACTGAACATCTTGCTGTTTATCTTAATGAGTATACAAGGCAATTTTTGGTTTCTTAACAAGCCAAAAAAGTATTGATTTAAATTCATTGTTGGGGTAAATTAACAACAGTCAATATTTGTGAGGACCCATTGTGCTGTTAAGCTTTTTTTCCACTAATGTTACCACTGATGTTACTTTTTGTTCCTATTATTTCAGCACCTGCTGAGTCATTGGCAGCTGTCACACATAGGTGACCATAGTTTCACAGTCCCGAACCAGGACAGAAGTGTACTGCATGTTCATTCATGCACCAAAGGCCTTGTCATCAGGAAGGGGGACAATTATTTCAGCCCTTAATGCACCTTTCAACACCATGGACACCATGAACACATTTTCATTGCTGGTTAGTTTTGAAGGAGTAGTGCAGGGGTGGCCAACCAGTCAGAGACTAAGAGCCAATTTTTTTACTGTGTTACTGCAAAGAGCCACATCATACACATGGGCACACATGAACATCCCCC